GCAAATTGTGTGATGCTGATTTTAAGTTGAGTATCAGAAGTTCAGAAATGAGAGAAACTAGTGTTGGCTGGGGTGGAATAGTTCCTGGGAGGCAGAAGACCCCAAATGAATCCAAACATTTCTCCCCCGAGCCTGCCTGCAATTGTCACTATTATTGCCATGAAAGGCATTATTTTAAAGCAGTACAGGGTAGTGGTTAAATAACTGGCTTTGGAACTTAGCCTTTCTGTGCCTCAGTTTCCTCATTTTAAAAATGTAGTTGATAACAGAATCCACATAATAGAACCATTATGAACGTGAAATGAGTTAAGTGATGTAATTCACTCAATATATTTATAGTTCGGTGTGCATCAGAATCACCTGGGAAGTTTATGTAAAATATGTAGGTCGTGGGATCAGTAGAAGTTGAAGAAACTACGCCCCCTAGAGCACCTAATTATACCTGGGGAGGTGGTAGCGTGTAGTGTAGAATTTGAGACTTTCTTTGAAAGTCTTCTTTCCAAGCCACTTGGCCAGTAGGTCATTCCACCTCTGCTCTAGGGTATTTCTCCTCAACCTCTTGCACTATTAGGCTGTGGAATATTTTTGGTGTGTTAGTTTCAACTTGGAGTACATCTGATTTAAGAAAAAAAAAATTCAGTCATCCTTGATTTGTTCCTTTTTTGAAACTTTGGAGGATAGCTTGGTTATATTTTACTCTTTTGGCATTTTCAGTGCATTATTTTTTTAAAAATGTAATGAATTTATAATCAACAAAATGATAAAGGAAATAATGAGAACACAGAGAATGAATTAAAACACTTAAATAATAATAAAAAAGAATAAACACTCATCATGTTTAGAGGAAGCATGCTATTAAAGAATAGTGATCCTATCCAAACTCAACATTAAGGAGGGCCTTTTATTAGTGCAACAGCAAAAACCCCTCAAATTAGCTTACGTACGAAGGTGATTTGTTGGCCCAAATAACTGGGAACTCCAGGGGTAAATTTGTCTTCAAGCACAACTGGATACAGAAACACCAATGAAGTCATCAGGCCTCTCTCCAGTCCTTGGCTCTGCTTCTCTACACATCCTCATTCTCTACCAAATACAAGTGTCTTCATGGGGCAGGAAGAATGGCTCCCAGCAATTACTGATTCACATGTTCATGGCTGATGACTCTGGGATTACATATCTCCCCTACTAGCCACAGTTAGTAAAAGTCAATGAATTATGTCAATTGCCTTACTTTGGGTCCCCAAAACAATCACTCTAACCAAAAGGATGGGATTGTCTCAAAGTCTAGGCCTGGGTCATATGCTGATCCAGTGACCAGAAGTGGGGGATGGTATAAGAAATCAAAAGTATGTATGTTTGGGAAATACTGTAGACCAACCCAAAACAAAATGCTGACTAAAAATCCTTTTAACATGCAGTAATAAACACATATTTTTCTTCCAATATATAATTCATTTTAAAAAAAGATTTATTTATTTTAGAGAGAGAGTGCCCGTGGTGGGGAGGGATAAAGGGAGAGGGAGAGAGAGCCCGAAGCAGATTCTGCACTGAGCGGAGTCTGACACGGGGTTCTATCTCACCACACTGAGAACATGACCTGAACAGAAACCAAGAGTCAGACACTCAACCAACTGCACCACCCAGGTGCCTCCCCATACATAATTCAAAAAATGCTTTAATCTAACATAACTCAACTGTCCCAGCCTCGATTGAAAACATACCGTTCACCCTTCAGTGGGAGACAACCTAAAGACACACATCGTTTCTATATCCTGCTTTGTGTAACATATTTCCAGGCCACTTGCATTTCTCCCAAACAGGCCTGGAAAGCAAGATGGGTAGCCAAGAACAAGAGCCATATCGGTGTCTTTGCAACTTAATGCAATGGAAAATCCATATATTCTTTACTTAGCCCAAGTAAATGCTATTAATCTCTCTCTCCAAACTGAACTGAAATTATTGAAAAGCAAGTTGCATAAAGGTGTCCAACTTCTTTTTAAAAAGTTTTATTTATTTAAGTAATCTCTTCACTCAATGTGGGGCTTGAACTCAGCACCCAAGATCAAGAGTTGTACAGTCTTCTGACTGAGCCAGCCAGGAGCCCCAAAAGTGTCCAACTTTTAAAATGTAAATTATTTTTCAATCCTTAGAGAGATACAAGCTATAACAAAACCTCCACATTATCTATTGCTCTAAGAAAATTAAATACATTTTCTAGTTCCTTAAAAACAATACAAACAGGGGCGCCTGGGTGGCTCAGTTGTTAAGCATCTGCCTTCAGCTCAGGTCATGATCCCAGGGTCCTGGGATCGAGCCCCGCATCGGGCTCCCTGCTCGGCGGGAAGCCTGCTTCTCCCTCTCCCACTCCCCCTGCTTGTGTTCCCTCTCTCACTGTGTCTCTCTCTGTCAAATAAATAAATAAAATCTTTAAAAAAAAAAAACAAAAAACTCCAATTAACCAGGAAATTTAAAAGACCCATGACACATTTTAGGAATTAATAATGACTGTTAATAAAGATTTCTTAAAGTTTATGCTTGGCTGTTGCAAGGATTATAACTGGTTTCTGTCTTGAAGTACACTGAAATGCCAATTATGTTTGACTCCTTTTCTGTATTGATTTATGCAGACACTATCTTCCCTGTGGGAAACACATAAACTTTCAGCCTTCACACATGGCAACACTGGGAAAATATCAGCAACAACCCCTTGTTGCCAGTGCTGGTTACTTTCTTATAGTAAATGACCCTGCATCTGTCTTCCTGGTTTGTGTGCTCATGAAAGAATTATTATTTGACAGAAGTGTTGCTGAAGGGTGTAACAATGACAAATTGACCTCTACTTATAATGAGAATCTGGGGGCTGTGTGCAAATAAAGGTCTAGGCAGAATATTTTTTGAATAATTGAGAATTACACACATGAATAAATTTGGATATGAAAAATGTAGTCACAGATGGAGAAAGCACTTGATTCATCAGACAAGTGCCTTAAGAGAAAATACAATCATAACTAAACATTAAATCTGCTGCTTAAAATATATTAAAGCTTTTAAGCAAAATAGGCTTTTAAATTCAAGGCAATCACTTGGTTCTTTGCTCCCACTATTTTGAATGTATTTGTGTGAAAATTGGAGGAGACTGCAAAAAGGCCAACAAACAATTATGAATGATCAGTACTATTTTCTGATTCTTTGTGATCCACCATAAGTTGTTATGAGGTAAAAAAAAAAAAAAAAAAAGGTTAATTGACCAAAGTAAAAAGAGATTAATGTCCACTGGGGTGTTGAGTACCATACTTTCAGCTCAAATTTTGAAGATAAATGTTTCCTTAAAAAAAAAAAAAAACAACCAACAAGACACCACGACAGCCACTCTGGAAAACAGTATGGAGGTTCCTCAAAAAGTAAAAATAGAGCTACCCTATGACCCAGCAATTGCACTACTAGGTATTTATCTAAAGTATACAAACATAGTGATTCGAAGGGGCACCTGCACCCCAATGTTTGTAGTAGCAATATCCATAATAGCCAAAATATGGAAAGAGCCCAGATGTCCACTGACAGATGAATGAATAAAGAAGATGTGGTATATATACCACATTCATCTGTGTGTGTGTATATATATATATACACACATACATATATATAATAGATTATTACGTATATATAATAGAATATTACTCAGCCACCAAAAAGAATGAAATCTTGCCATTTGCAACGACGTGGATGGAACTAGAGGGTATTAGGCTAAGCGAAATAAGTCAGAAGAAGACAAATACCATATGATTTCACTTACATGTGGAATTCAAGAAACAAAACAGATGAACATTGGGGAAGGGAGGGAAAAATGAGACAAAAATTGAGAGGGAGGCAAACCATAAGAGACACTGAACTCTAAGAAACAAACTGAGGGTTGCTGGATGGGAGGTGGGTGGGGACATGGGATAATTGGGTGATGGACATTAAGGAGGGAACGTGATGTAATGAACCCTGGGTATTATATGCAACTGATCAATCACCAAATTCTACCTTTGAAACTAATTTAAAAAAAACTTAAAAAAAAAACCCCATCACTTTGGGTTTTTTTTTTTTTGACCACCACTTTGATCTTAAATGAAAATCTTTGTCTTAAGATTGTAATAGCTATAATCTCAGATATTTCATATTACATGTAAAATTATTTAAAAAATGATTTAGGAACAACGGTAAGTTTTGATGTTAGAACAACTAGTTGCTGAAGAAGTCAATCAACCCTGTTGCTCCTATGAACAGGTCTCCAGCTCCCCTAGGTACTTTTACCCGCTGGGTGCTGTTTACTTTGCATTTACATTGACATGAATGAGTACAGTTCTTTTCAAACTTCTAGTCATGCTACACTGAGTATCGTGAAATCAAAATACAATCAGCATTTCAGCTTTTTCTTTATGAACATTCATATACATACAAAAGTAGAAAGAATAGTAAAATCACCCATATTCCATGATTATCAAGATATTATCACATACTTTCTTGCATCACCACACGGCCCATTGTCACACCTAAAAAAGTGAGCCATAATTCCTGGTATCATGCAATACATCTCAGGTGTCTAAAAAATGTTTTCTTACAACTCGTTTGTTTGAATTAGGATCAATCAGCATTTTATTTTTTTAAAAGATTCTATTAAATTTGAGAGAGACTGTGTGCGTGAGAGAGCACGAGCAGGGGGAGGGGCAGAGGGAGAGGGAGAAGCAGGCTCCCTGCTAGCAGGGAGCAGGGAGCCCCACATGGGAATCGATCCCAGGACCCCGGGGATCACAACCTGAGCTGAAGGCAGAGGCTCAACCCACTGAGACACCCAGGCGTCCCTGGATCAATCAGCATTAAAAAAAAAAAAAAAAGTGAAATAGAAGAATAGATTACTGCCTATCATGGGCATAACATGTAGGAAGGCTTGTTACTGTTTTATGACATTTCTTTTTATATGTGTGTATTTGTGTCATTTATAAAATGTATTTTCTTACCACTGGTCACAGAAACAGAAGCGTGAAAGCCACTGGTTTAGTGATCTTCTCCTCTACTCCATAGGCTCTGGGCAGATTTCAGTGTCCAGACACATTCTGCAGTTTAAGGAAGGATATATGTACATGAAGGAGAGCTCTGTATCTTTGCTCCTGCTGTTCCCTCTGCCTAGAACTCCCCTCGCTACCATGCCTACTATCTCATGTCTTCCCTAGCCTCCAAGGGCTGAAGGGTCATGGAACCTTTTTCTGTTCTCCTGCCCAGCTGTCACTTGGTTTGCCTCTTCTTTGTTGCTCTTATCACACTGCCTTTGGTAATGGTTATCTGGATACAATATATGTTTTATACTACTGTATAAATTAAGCTCATTAAGTGTATCATGTATAACTTCTTTGCCCTGAGATGTAACTTGCTCTATGCTTTGCTTATGCTAAGCACTTAACAACTGAATAAACTGAATTGGGAGTTTGACACACTAGCTATAGGTTATTAGGCAGTGTCAAAAAAAAAAAAAAATCAGACTCCAAGGAGAAACTGGAGAAGAACCCAAATTCATGAGGTTAGACTAAATCATGAAAAGTAGCAACAACAATAATGGTAGCTACATCATTTTTCAGAGTTTCTTATGTGCCTGGTACTGTAAGAACTTCACTTATTTTATCTAATATTCCCAAAAAATCCTGGGAGGAAGGGTATCACCAGCGTTACACATAAGAAAACCAAGTAGTTAAGTACTTTTGCAGAGTCTAGCATCTAAAAGCTGTCCTTCCTAATAAGATTCTATTCAGAGGCTATGGGACTCCCAATTTTTTCACCAACATTTGAATCCACTTCAGAGTTCAGAATAAACTAAGAGAGAAACCGAGGATGATCAACTTGGACTTCTCTTCCACTTTGTCACAGCTTCTGCAGTCTAAAGAAATTGGAGGATTTGGGAAGTCTGAACTGAAAAACAAGCAAACACCACTATTTCCCTCTTATACACATGCACAAAACACACACACGCACACACACACACACACACGCACTTTGCATGTGTTAACTATTCATTCTTCAGACCACAACCTAATGATCCTTTCTCTGGGAATCTTTTTGACTCCCAGGTGAGGTACATAATTTCTTATGGAAACATGTCTCTTTCCCTCAGAACCTGTTTCAGTGTGTAACTTATTTAATGTGATTATTTGATTAATATCTGCCTTGTCCTCTGGGATACAAGCTCCAGAACAATAAGGACCACTTCTCTTTTTGTTCATCATAGTTTTCCTAGCACTTAACTTGCTGCCTGGCAGATTTTAGGTGTTCAATAAATAGTGCATGCGTTTATGAGTGAATAAATGAATGAATAACTAGACAAATTTCATCAGTCGTTGTTTCATACTTTAAGAGGAAGCCTGGTACAGCAACATAGAGAATGTTGGCTAGGGATGAAGGGTTTCAGGGATAGAAACAATTAGGAGAACATCCACTCATTCTCACCACTACCTCTCCCAGCTTGTTGCATCTGTAACCATAGACCTAATCTTTCCTTCTGTGACAATGGCTGGACTGTCTAGATCCTTACCTAAAGTCAAGCCCTTCATTTTTTACTGGACCCTATTCCTCTTGCCTCCTTGATGTACTCATTCTCTCTCATGCATTATCAAATTTTCACTTCCTACTGCAGCCCTATCCAACAGAATTTTCTGATGATGGAAATGTTCTCTGTCCACGCTGTTCAATATGGTAGCTACTAGCCACTTGTGGCTATTGAGTACTTGAAATGTTGTTGGTTAATCACCGAGGAACTAAATTTTTAAAAGTTTAAATTAACTTAAATAGTTACATACAGATGATTTCCATCAGCAACAAACATGCTATTATTTCTTCCATCTTAAAAAATAATTCACCTCCCTTGACTTCACACCCCTTCTAGATACCACCCCTTTCTCTGCTCCCTCCTTCAAAGTATATTCCTCAAAATGTTTGTCTACACTCCCTGTATCCACTTTCCCTTCCTTCATGTACTCTTTAACTTAACTTTAGTCTATCTTTTGACTCAAGAGGTCACCATAATGTTACTCAGCATCACCAGGGACCTCTGTGTTGCCAAATCCTATGGTCAATGTTGAGTGCTCATTTTACCAGAACAAACAGCAGCATTTTATATGGTTCATAACTCCCTTCTTGAAAGACTTGCCACTCTGTTACTTGGGATCTCACCTTTCTCTCTCTCAGGTCTCCTCTTACCTCTCTGGCTATTCTTTCTTAGCTTCCTGTGCTGGATTTTCATCTTTGCATCCTCTAAATACTGAAATGTCACAACCCTCAGTCCTTAAACCTCATCTCTCCTCTATATTTCCTTCCTTGGTGCTTTCATCCATTTCCATGGCTGCAAATATTAGGTATAGGCTGCAGACGCCCACATGTATCTCTTGCTCTGAACTCCAGACTTGCACGTCTTAGAGCAACCCCCCTACTGAAACCTGATATTTGGATGTCCAACAGGCACCTCAAGCTTCATATTCCATAAGATCACTTTTTTTTTTAAAAAAGATTTTATTTATTTATTTGACAGAGAGATAGAGAGCACAAGTAAGCAGAGTGGCAGGCAGAGGGAGAGGGAGAAGCAGGCTCTCCACTGAGCAGGAAGCCGGACGTGGGACTTGATCCCAGGACCCCAGGATCATGACCTGAGCCAAAGGCAGCCGCTTAACCAACTGAGCCACCCAGGCGCCCCACCATAAGATCACTTTTGATTCACCTTTTAAATCTGCTCTTCCCTCAATCTTTCCCATTTTAATCAGTGCCACCCCCATCTTTCTAATTGCTCAGGCCCCAGGATGTTTGGAAACATCCTTGACTCATATGCCACAGCCAATCTATCAGCAATTCCCTCTTTGTCCTACTATTTAAATAAAGCAAGAACCTGACCCTTTCCCATCATCTTACCTGTACACCCCCCACCCCACCCCCCAGTTCAAGCCACTACCATGGCTAGCCTAGATTATTGCAAGAGACTCCTGACTGGTCTCCCTACTTTTATTTACCTTTATTCTCTTAAAATCACCTCTCTCAACAACAGCTAGTGATCCTTTAAAAATGTAAATAGATTCCTATCACAGCAAAACACCAAGCTTTCCAATGGTTTCCCATCTCTTTCTAAATAAAAGTCAAAGTCCTTACAGCAGCCTATAATAATCTGCATAATCTGGCCCCCAACTACCTCAGACCTCCAGGTAGGCCCAATCTCCCCTCCCAGACTTCCTCTTTCCTCTAATCCACATGGTCCTCCTTGCTGTTCTTTGAAGGGGCTGAACATGCCACCTTCAATCTCTTTATCCTGATTTATCTTACATGACAGTTCTTATCTGTCTTCCCAAACTAAACTTTGGAGCCCTTAATCAGACTCCAGACTCGCCCTGTTTTGTCTTCTGCTGGATTCCCATCTCAAACAGTGCCTAGTACTGAATAGGTGTTCAATAAATCAGTGTTGAGTGAGTGAATTAATAAATTATACTACTAATGCCTAGTAGTATAACCCAGCATAAATCATTTAACGTTTTTTGGATCTCATTTTCCTCATCTCTCAAAGGAGAGACAAACTAGATAATCTCAAAATGCTCCTTTACTCAGTAAACATTTAATGCAACCTACTGTGTGCTTGGCACTGGGTAGGTGCTTCAGCTACAAAAAATGGTCACAGACCCTGCTGTCCAGGAGCTGGATAAGGAGTGGATAAACAGCCACATGGGGAATTACCATAGAGGGCTTCCAGAGAAAACTTCTGAGTGTTCACCTGGCAATGGGTAGGATACACCTAGGCGAAGAGGGAGAACCGGCTTCCCACGTGTGTACTGGGAACCCTTCCAGACTATAAACCTTGAGAAGGCAAGGGCCTCCGGTTTTCTCCCCAGATTTGGCTCCAGACTCTTATTCCTATCGTTATCTTACCTCTGATGCTGGTGCATTTACTGAACGAAGAAGCGGGGTGGGAGTTGGGGAAGATAATGAATTCAGTTCCAGCTTTAAAACTATATGATCTTGGTTAGCATCCACCTATGTCATAAAGCGAGGCACAGCTTATGGACTTAGGCTTGGACCTACGTATTGTTTTACACTGTTCTCAAGCCCCAGAAACACAAATCACATCCTCTATAACCTTGGAGGCTCCTGGCACAGTGCAAAGGTCCTCAACGTTTTTTCAGTCCCACACGTCTCAGAGCTTTCCTATCAGGACGTTCCCATCGGCGCGGCAACTTCGGCGCTGAGCTGATACCGCTAAACGCCTGCGACAACATCCGCGCACGCCCGCGAATCGTCCCACACGCTGGGACCTTCATAGTCGGCTCTTCCCGAGAGTTCCCGGGTGTCCTTGCTAGTTGGCCCCCCGCAAGCCCCTGCGCTAACCTGGGAGGAGTCGACCTCTGCTGACTCTACCAACTGAAAAGTGCAGGGGTGGAGGCACTGAGCATGCTGAGACCAAGGCTAGAAAACGAAAAGAGAAGCACTCTCAAATAATCAGTCACGTCACATTATTATTGGCACATCGTACGGGGCTCCTGTGTCCTCAGAGAAATCTGTTTGTCTATCTTCTAAGCTAAAACAACGCGTGGCTCCCCCTACGTCTGGCGCGCCCGGCCTTTGGTCTCTCCCGCGCCGGGCGACCCCGCGGTCACGTGCTCCCCCTGTCCTTCTCGCCGAGCGTGCATCCTGCCGTAGGGACGGCTGAGCCATGGCAGCCCTGCTGAGACCAGCCCGCTGGCTCCTCCGAGCCGGGACGACCCCGCGCCTTCCGCTCTCCCTGCGCCTCCTTGCAGGCGGCCTAAGCCGGCCGCACGCCGCCCCTTGTGTGCCCGCCGCCCGCGCCGGGCCCGTCGCCGGGTGAGTGCCCAAGCTCTACCCTTTGCCCGTCTGCAGCGCGGGCGTCCCCCGGGGTCGTGATGCTGGCGGGGGCCGGGCCCGCCTGTCTCTCTCCGTGCCCTCTTCGCCACCCTGGGGCCAAATGTCCCGGCGTCTGAGACCCCGCTCCCCAGTGGGGGTTTTCGGGTGACAGGGTCAGTCGACTTCAGAAGGTCATGGCCGTGTGCTAGGTTTGCTTCCGGCTTGGATTGTGCGTTAATGGTACTGGGTCTTCCTGTCCTCGGGCTACGGGCGACCTGTTAAGCTGGGCGGCGGGGGGAACGGAGGGAGGCTTTGAAGACTGCTGCTGGGATCGGGTGTTACTCTTCTCCTTAGGATTGACCGGCTTGGATGCTGTCCCACGTGCGAACATTATCGGTGATCAGTAACCAGCTAGAACTTAGATTTTGAGAAGTTTATATTTTGGGGGTGGGAAGGATAGGTTGGGAATTTGGGGTGAGCTAGGGATAGTTTAGAGAGGGACGTTTAATTGTGATCAGCTTGGGCTTTTGCCTGCATTTTCTGGAGTGGAGTTTTCCTCGATATTTACAAGGGTGCGGTATGGGTTGGGAATTGTCACAGTAGGGCTCTGTGTCAATGAGTGAATAAGTGAACACGTGCAAGGCATTTCGTGGGGATATAAGGATGCTAAGGGATCCGTGGTGTCAAATGTGTGAATAAATGCTTTCATAGATTGAGGTTTATCGGGAGATAGGTCTGGCATAGACTTGAAGAGAGGATAAGGAAGTTTGATGAAAAAGTATTAGAGTAGTATTCTGACCATTTGAGAAGGGGAGATTGGCACTGAGGTTTTAGAATTGGAGAGAAACTGAGTTTGAAATACTGTTAATAAAGGTACTTTGGGAGACAAGACTAAGAGCTAAGGATTTACCATTGGACAAGTTACTTAACATTTCTAGGCCTTAGTTTCTTTAGTTAGATGCAGTGGTAATAGAGTTGGTAGTACTGCATGGGATTATCTATAAAAAGCACTTAGCGTAAGGCCTTGTACCTAGTAAGTGCTTTATTAGTTATAATAATAGTAAGAATTATGATTACATGGATCTTTGTGGAGCAGCCTGGAAACCTACTCTCTGCATAAAATTATATGGAGGAAACGTTTTATGACTTCTTAACAACTCAGTTACAGATTTTTGGAATGTAGCCTACTTGTAACTTACAGCCTGCCTGGATTTTATTAGGGCTGAACAGTTAACCTTCAGGAGCCATGCCTCTGCTTCCTCAGAAAGCATTTCTCTGCTTTCAAAGACTTTATTTTGAGAAAGTTGTGCCAGTTACTCTTATTTTTTTAGTCCTTAACTATCTCTGTGAGGTCAGAGGAGGGTCGATGATATCTTTCATCTTCACTTTTGCATTTGAGGAAAACAATACAACAGAATCTAATAGAAAGGGTATTGGTCTGGTGTGCATCAGACCTGGATTCCATTTACTTGCTACATAATCTTACCTAACTTCTTTGATCCTCAATTTCATGTTTTGTAAAGTAGAGGTAACAAGGCCTTTCTCCCTTCTTTGCAAAGCTGATTTCTTGTCATTCAGGATTCAACTTAAATGCTGTTTCTTCAGAGAAGCCTTATCTTGGCACTCAATCTAAAAACTACCCTATTTTAATCATGCTATGTCTAACTTGTCTGATATTAATCTGCTTTTTTTGTTGTTTATTTTCTTAGTAGAAAAAGTGAATTGCATAAGAGCAGGACTTTGTCTTGCTCACCACTGTGTGCTCAGCTCATAACAAGCAGTGAAGGAGTATTGCCTCTTTCTCTTGCACTCTTAACAGTCCTTTTATGCAGTCTCCTGTCCCACAGCCTGCAAGCCTGCCCAGCTCTTTCCCACCTGAAAAACAAACCCTTTCCTAGAACTCTGGACTTATCTCTAGATGCTTACCAGATTCCCTTCCCCTGTCCCTATTCCTGTCTCCTTTACTTCCTCACTTGGTGTTCACTCTTCGACCCACTGCAATCACACTACTGGCAAAAGCCATCGTCGTTTTATTTATTAATTTTTTATTGTATATATTTTATTTATTTATTTTTTAAGTACGTTTCACATTCAGCGTGGTGCCCAACACAGGGCTTGAACTCGCGACTCTAAGATCAAGACCTGAACTGAGATCGAGAGTCAGTTGCTTAACTGAGCCACCCAGGCGCCCCTATTTTATATTTTTAAATTACAAAACTCATGTTCCTTGAGGAGCAATTGCAAAATACAGAGGGAATAGCAATAAATTAAAAATCATCCTTAGGTGCCTTGCTAGCTCAGTGGGTGGAGTGTGTGGCTCTTGATCTCGGAGCTATGAGTTCGAGCCCCACTTTGGGTGTAGAGATTATTTAAAAATAAAATCTTGGGGCGCCTGGGTGGCTCAGTCATTAAGTGTCTGCCTTTGGCTCAGGTCATGATCTCAGGGTCCTGGGATCGAGCCCTGCATCGGGCTCCCTGCTCAGCGGGAAGCCTGCTTCTCCCTCTCCCACTATCCCTTCTGGTGTTCCCTCTCCCGCTGTCTCTCTGTCAAATAAATAAAATCTTTAAAATAAAATAAAATAAAATCTTAAATAGATAGAAAATAAAACAAAAAAATTACTCTTAATTCTATCACCCAGAGAAAGCCATTGAGATATATGTGTCCTTTGTGTGTGGATATTTGTGTGTGTGTGTGTGTATATAATTATGTATGTATAGATGAAAGTTTATTTCATTTAATTTTTCCAAGGGACCTCTTAATTACCAAATCCACTTTTTTTAAATTTTTTTAAAAAGATTTTATTTATTCATTTGAGACACGGAGATACAGAGAGCGAGAGAGCATGAGCAGGGAGAGAGGCAGAGGGAGAGGGAGAAGCAGGCTCCCCGTTGAGCAGGGAGCCCGATGCGGGGCTCGATCCCAGGACGCTGGGATCATGACCTGAGCTGAAGGCAGACGCTTAACCATCTGAGCCACCCAGGTGCCCCCCAAATCCACTTTTAAGGCCTTGACCTCTGGCATGTTATTCTGTCTCCTATTTCTCCCTTCATGAGACCCTTTGCTTGGCATTGATGACACCAGTCTTTCATGATTCTCATCTCTTTAGGATTTTTCTCATTTGCTTTGTTGCTTCCTTTTTCTTCTGTTCATTTCTTAAATGCTGATGTGTTAGGGGGAGTTTGTCTTTAGTTCTTATACTTTTTCATTCACTGTGGGTGAGTTCATCCATTTTCAAGGCATCAACCCCTTCCTACCTATCTGATAACGGCATTATTTCTCTTTCTGGTTATAGACCATTTACTAGACACCTCCACTGGTTGAACTACAGTTGCTTCAAACCCATCACATCTCAAATTGGACTCATATTTCCTCTCAAATCTGTTCCTTTTGTGTTCCGTGTTTTAGTAAATGCTGCCATTTCTGTCTGCTTCCTAGAGATTTGTCATTCTTATTTCATTGACACCTGACCCGACTCACCTCCTGTGTATTGATTACACAAATGATTAGGTTCTGCTAGATTTACTCCATCTGGAATGAATCCCCTCTTCTTCCTCTAAGCCTCATGTTATTCCCTAGTCTCCTTGAGACTGCCATACCTTCATGTCATTTTCCTACTTAGATACTGTGATGGCTTGCATTAGTTCCAGGATAAGGTGCTTCATGATCTGGAGATGGCTGTGGAGCCTCACTTACGAGTTCCTTTCCATGGCATCCTGTGTTCTAGCTGTACCAGACTACTTCTGAGTCCTCTATAGCAGGGCTTTTTAATGAGCATAAGAAATCCTTGGGGATGCTGTCAAAATGTAGATTCTGATTTTGTAGGTCTAGACAGGGGAACTGAGATTCTGCATTTCTAACAAGCCCCCAGATGGTAAAGGTACTATTGGTCCAAGGCTCTGAGGGGCCATGTTGCACATCTCTTTGCCTTTGAATGTGGTGTTCACTCTTGGGGTATGTTGCCCCTTCCCCCTATTCACGTGTTCCTTTTCTCTGTTAAATCTTGATTGCTTCTCCCATTTGACCACTCCTCTTTTGTGCTTTCTCTCAGATCCTGAATCACTAAGCATCCATTAGCATGATTACATATGTACCAAACAGCACTCCAGACCTGGCTGTAAGTTCCTTGAAGGCAGTGATTTTGTCTTATTCTTTTTGCCTCCCCTGGTGTCTGACTGTGGCACATAGTAGGTGTCAAATATTTTTTGAGTAGATGAGTGAAAATCTTAGATGTTGAGGAAGGAATATTGTGACATGCAAAGATATTTGAAGGGATATTTAATCCATGCCTGTAGTGTAGTGAACCTCCACAAATTCCACCCCAATCTTGATTTCCAAGAATGTCCTGTGAAAGACAGATGAGCATTATTGAGTGAAATTTTAGAATTTATTAATTTGTTTTCAAAATTGAAACACCAGAAAGTATATACTTTTTTTTTTCTTCTTAAAGATTTTTTATTTATTTATTTGACAGAGAGAGACAAAGTGAGAGAAGGAACACAAGCAGGGGGAGTGGGAGAAGCAGGCTTCCTGCTGAGCAGGGAGCCCGATGTGGGACTCGATCCTAGGAGCCTGGGATCATGACCTGAGCCGAAGGCAGACGCTTAACCATTTGAGCCACCCAGGCGCCTGAAAGTATATACTTCTATATTCTTTAGTCTTGCTCCTCATTTCCCATTTCAGTGCTTTTTTCTTTTTTTTAAACAAATTTTTCTTTAAAACCAGCTCTTCCCTTATCCTTTGTGGGGAGTTTAAAGGCCAAACACTGTTGCTTTGCCCCAGACTCCCTTTTTCCTAACACTTCTGGATCAGAAGCTGCTTATATTTTCTTGTGAGAGTTTTCAGGCTTTTGTGCTTCAGAAGAAAGATAAGCTTTGAATTAAATCTGTTTGGAAGTGGATCTAGATTGATGATTGGCTTAAGGGTGAAGAGCACATACTGCCCTATGACAGAATGATGTGACTTCTGCTGTTGGAAGGAAAGAAAACTTTCCCTTGTTTAT